CTAATCTTTTCTTCAACCCACTGAAAGGGCAGAGTGCCAGGGACTGCCTCCAAGTATTGGGTGGCAAAGTAGGCAAGGTCGGGGGAAACAGGCATAGCCCCTACTGTTCCTGTGGACCTTGTAAGCCCCATTCTGGGCCAGTGGTTTTATTCATTTGCTCCCTTGATTTTTACACATTGGGTCCCAGGGCCCTCAACCTGCCAGTTTCATTCTATGCAAATGATTTTATTTCATGCATTTAAAAATTTGTTTTTAATCTAAAACATTCTGGTTTCATATTTTTGCATATTTAAATCTGAGACCCTCATTCTTCCTTTGGATTCTCAGGAATACATCAGTCAGCCGCAGCTCCAGCATTGCACAGCAGGAACTGTTATATCTGTTAGTTGCTTTAGCAGTGTCAAGAAAAACTAATATATGAAGCCATTAAACTACTATATTTTACCATTAGCTGCCCCGTTTTCCCAGTCGTAACAGGCCTCTTTGCCGTGATGTCCTCTTTAAATCCCTCTCCCATGTTGAAACATGTAATGAAGATTGAGTTTCAACTGGGTCACCTTCTGGTGTTACTTGTCTATTCTTTAAAAGAGTGGAAATGAGAGATTAAAAGGACCCAGGATAACTGGAAGGGTCATGATAGAACCCAAAGTTAGTATGATAGGAGTAATAGTATGTGAGATTAATTTTTGGCTCTGGAGAACTGGGCTTCACTTCTCCAAACATCAACCTTCATCAAATTGTACTAGGCCTGTCAAACCCGAAGTCTAAACCAAGCAGTGTGTCTCTACATATATACTGGTGTACATGCATGTTTTAAGAGAGTGAGGTTAAGCTTAGGTTTTTGAGAATAGCTCTACTTCTCACATGCTGCCTGGAGGGATGTATGTATACACTGGGGAGTGGGGCTTGGGGAAATGCCAGACTTTATCCTGCAAAATTCTGAACTTTTCTTGCTTGGTTTTTAGGCAGACACGAGCCAGGTAATGTATGTAGTGCTAGGGCCAGTTTTCTGCCCTGCTAAAGTTGTTCTGGTGTTGACACAGTAGCTAATAAAGGGCAGACTATTATCCATGTGTTGAAAAGGAGTAAATGGAAGTATTACGCATTTGGTCACATATGTCTAATCTGTATTTCCTGTCTCAAATAGTTTTGTTTTGTTTTTTAAACATGTCTGAGCTTTGTAGAACTTCACAACTTGCTGGTTTGCTGTTTGGTAGTCTATATAAGTATATATATATGATGTGTTAGTCTTCGTTTTCTTTTGGTGTTTTTATTGTTTACAAATTTGTTATTCAAAAGAAGATAGCTAAATAAAAGGATCTGAAATATGAACCTGAAGACTCTGTAAAGTGAGGTGCTTTTACCTATCCTTTTTTCTCTTAGTATTTTCTATTTTGGCCCAGATCCTCTGTCCAAAAACTCCTACTGCAATGCCTTGCCCTGGCATAAAGGGGGAAAGAGCACATTTATTCTAGGAATATCTCTAACTCCAGGAGTGGTGGTGGTAAGAACTGTGTAATAAACCAAAGACACTAAGAACTTTTTATCTGACTACTTCTGGTTTAGGTCTGTTCTTTGTTCTAATACGTGTTAAACACATACATCACTGGATTGGGATAGACCAGACCTATTTCTCCTAGTCTAGAGGAGCTTTTCTTTATAGGAACCAATAATCTGGGGATGGGGCCTTCAGTGTCTTTCCTACTAGTCCAGGAAACTTGTCCAAGTGCTATAAGGTTGTGTAAGTGCATAAATGAAACTCCATGTTACTGCTATAAACCAAAGCTTCCTGTGGAACCATGAACTTAAACATGTACAGAAAGAATAAGCAAGAGTACATGTCTGTTGTTATCCTTATCCTCTTCCCTTTGTTCATGATCTACAGGAAATTGATTTCTTTAGGAGGCTATATAGATCCCATTATTTGGGTGCATTAGTGTTTGATAGTTTTCATTATTCGGTCTTTTTTTCCTTTTCCACCTATTGTTAACCCTCTCCATCTTGTTTTTGTCCTCCTGAGAAAATACAAAAAAAAAAAAAAAAGAAACAGATAAAAAAAACCCGAGGTAACAGTTGGAATAGTTCTTGAATTCAAATTGTTTTGTGCGTGCTAGCAGTATTGTTTCAGCTGTTTGGTTTTTCCATTCTATAAAAAACAGTACTACTTATCCTGCAGAGTTGTTTACAGGTGTAATACCTGTGGTAAATTATTTTGGTACAAGTGATAGACGATTTAAATTATGTATGAAATTGCTTCCTAACCTTTTCCAGTCATGGTACATAAAGTGAAGATACTGTTCATAGATGGGGTAAACTGGATGTGCTCCCTTTGCTACAAATCACTGTTTTAAGGGCTCTGACTGTCCCAGTTCCCCCCCACCCATCTGAGGAAACCAATAATATAATTTACCTGTAACCCTTTCTCAAAATACTGGGAAATTTTGATTAGGATATTGCATATAAATTTTATCTTGAATCTTTGCTAGAGGGGAAAAAATCTCAGTTCTCCTCTGCACTGTATGGCCTTGTTATTAGAAAAACTGTCATCACATGGTGAAAAAGATGGCCACCTGTTCTGTGCTTCCCTTATTCTCACAGTTGTCATTCCAATCAAGAATAAAAATAAATTGCCTTTCTGCTATTAGTTTAGAACCATCACAGTTTCCATCAGGCTTCTGATTGGCCCAGCGTAGGTCAAGTCCATATCCCCAAACCCATCACCTTTTTAGATGGATGGAATCCTCTGGCCAGCACTTAAGTCTTATTGACGTGGGTAGGTAGGGGTGTAGCACATGGTAGGGCAAGGAGGTTAGTCCCACCCGAACCAATGGAATGGGTCCCCCATACAAAAAAGGATTCTGCTCCCCACACAAAGGGATGAAATGAAAATGTGCTAGGTTAACTTTCATCACAATCCACTGTATTACCTGGTGTTTCTGAAAGCATCATGGATTTCACGTAGGAGTACATGGTATTAGAAGTTAGTTCTCATTTTGATAGAAGTTAATGACTCACCGTTTCCCTGTGTACTATTTCAATAGTAAACATGGTAAGAACATCAACTTGGTGAAACTAGTTTGGGAAAAGTTTTCTTAACTCAGTTATACAATTCATCCAGATCTGTGTTATCCAGTATGGTAGCCACAAACTACATGTGGCTATTGAAACTTTAATTAAAATTAAATAATATTAAAATTTAAAGTGCTCAGTGGCCACATGTGGCTAGTGGTTACCATACTGGAGAGCACAGATTATAAATTTTCATTATCATCATAGAAAATTGTTACTGGACAGTGTTGACCTAGACCATTGAAGCTATTTTCCCCCCTTTATACCACACTTTGTCCTATCCTGTTTACCTTTCCAACAGGTTTTATATGTTTTCTTCTGAAGAAACCCTTATGTAATTTTCTACCCACATTTTTTTCACTTCCAAGATATTATGTCAGTCCATTTTCCATTGTTGGCAGTGATGAGTTTTTCTTTTGCATCTTTTTAACGTAATTACTAAAGAAATCCAGAAAGTTCTTGGCAGGGTGGAGCCAAGGAATTTTCTTAACCTAATAGAAAGGGGTATGCAAGATAAATGGGTTTTAAATAGATGGAAAAGTTTTCTTTGAAAGTGCCTTTGTCATAATCTTGTATATCACATAACAGAAACTCTTTACCCTTCTTAGGAAAAGGTTTCATCAAACTAAACGTCTAATTGCCTGGTTCCCTACCTTTATTATTTGCTTGGGGCCAGGAGCAAAATGCTATTTTTCAGCAACACTATAACCTTGCCTCCAGTGAGTAAAGGTAGAGAAATTTAATTTTTTTCTCCTAATGCACATACACATAGCTTTTAGGGAAAAAAGTTTAGGAATAATTTGGGACATTTTTGGAGCCTATCGTGCTTTTTTGATTATTTTATCTAACAGAGACTTTATTCCCTGTGATTGACTGTTTGAAAGTCTAATATCTGTGGATAAAAATTGCCTATTTGTGGGCCGGCCCGTGGCTCACTCAGGAGAGTGCGGTGCTGATAACACCAAGGCCGCGGGTTCGGATCCCATATAGGGATGGCCGGTTGGCTCACTGGGTGAGCATGGTGCTGACAACACCAAGTCAAGGGTTAAGATCCCCTTACCGGTCATCTTTAAAAAATAAATAAATAAATAAATAAATAAATTGCCTATTTGTATCTCCCACTAGTCTTATAAGCCTTTGGAGGTCAGGGATGGCATCTAACCTTGCTCAGCATTGTACAGTACATCCAACATCTCCCTTGTTGCCTGGGGCACACAGTAGGTACTTAGTAAATATTTTTGAATAAAGATTTCTATTATTCAGAGACTAGTTCTCCCATGTCAAGGCTTTTGTTTTTCCTCCATTCTCCTGCTTAACTCTGTTTTCCTCCCCTTATAAGTATGGAGAATAAATACATTTGTATGTAATACTGTTTTTCAGATCTTCTAAGTGGCCACAATAAAAATTGGATGTATAGAATAGCATCATTTTTACAAAATGATTGCCTTGAAGCTAAATATTTTATGCTGTTTCTTTACCCTATTTCACTTAATTTGTAATTTCTTTAATACATAGTACTTGAAAGCTCCAATTTTTGCAGATTTGAACATGTAGCCAGTTGAGATAGTGCCTTCTATAGAGTTCATTTTGTGCCCTACAAAACATGACCATTATGATAGACTCACAGATACCCCCTCTGCTTTGTCTCACAGTTAGCAGCTAGTTTCTAGCCTAGCCAGGTAGGCTAGTGCTAAAAACAAAATTTTATGATAATCAATTTCCATTCCACTAAGGACTCACTCAAATATAAATATAAATGTATACATTTATATATTTATATATATCTTATAAGGTCTCAAATTAAATTGTATCAGAAAAATTTTAAGGGAGGGAAAACTTAAAATCTGGATTGTACTTCATTAAAAAGCAGAACACTTTGAATACTGTGAATGTGGGGGTATTCATAGTTAAAACTTTTTTCCTGTTTCTAGGACTATCCTGTTAAGTGTAATCTCACTGCTTAATGAGCCCAACACCTTCTCCCCAGCCAATGTGGATGCTTCGGTTATGTTCAGGAAATGGAGAGACAGTAAAGGAAAAGACAAAGAATATGCTGAAATCATTAGGTAAGGTGCTTTGTTTTGTTTTCTATTTGATTATTTCAAGCCTTCATACAAAACCAAAGTATATTCTGGAGCCAAGGGTTGAAAGCAAACTTAAATATCCTGTCTGCTCCAGGATAATTTCTCTCAATTATAGTGTGGGAAGAAATTTCTACTTATGCCTAATGAGCTTGGCTATTGAGAGAGTACCCATAGAAGTTAATTATGCAGCAGATTGATTTCCTAGAAACCAGAATTTACTGGTTCTTTACTACTCAAATTTGTAAAATCTCCCTAATCATTTTAGGGATCCTGTTCTGGATTTTCAACATGTCTGTTAAGTTGACACAATTACCCAAGGTATTCTAGACATGTAATTTTGTTTTCAGAACTTTAACTAATGAAGCCCTACAGTTTATTTGCATTTTTGACCATAGCAGCAACTATCTTTTGGATATCCTCATTACTGGCAACACTAATATAGAGTACAACAGAGCCCTAGAATAAGAATCCGAATTGGAATCTACTGCCAGCTCTGGTATTCTTGTGTGACCATTTCTCAGTTAACTTTTTAGGTCTTTAGTAAAAAGGAAAAAAGAAGATATTGGGCTCAACCTCATTTTTCTTTCTTTTTTTTTTGGGGGGGGGGGCAGCTGGCCAGTATTGGGACCCAAACCCTTGATGGAGTTTTGTTTGTCTGTTGGGGTTTTTTTTTTTTTTTGGTGCCTGGCCAGTACGACCTTGGTGTTATGACACCATGCTTTAACAAACTGAGCCTAACCATCCAGTCTTTTTTTTTTTTTGGGGGGGGGGGGCAGCTGGCCAGTATTGGGACCCAAACCCTTGATGGAGTTTTGTTTGTCTGTTGGGGTTTTTTTTTTTTTTTGGTGCCTGGCCAGTACGACCTTGGTGTTATGACACCATGCTTTAACAAACTGAGCCTAACCATCCAGTCCTTAACCTTTTATTTTTCAATCATACCCTAAGTAGGACATAATAGTATCCAAGGATTTTGCAATAAAATTAAACTCCCCTTAATAATGTTACATTTGTATACCTTAAAATAGAGCCCCTTAGTACAGTTCCAACTTATTCTGTGCATAGGAGTTTAATATGAACTGTAATTTATACAAATAGAGTTCCTCTCTATAAATCTAGTTGACATAATTCCATGTGATATGAAAAAATAAAAACAATACTGAGAAAGAACATCATGCGACTGCTGAGTAATATAAATCAGCAGTTCTCAAAGTTTTTTGCCCATTGGGATTACTGATGGACTCTCCCTAAATCATAGCTATTTAATCAGATTATATGGGTAGAGTCTGGGCACTTTTTTTTTTTTTTTTTTTTAAACCCAGCCACTCGGGTTACTGATGCATACCAAACATTGAAGATAATTAGTATAAACAATAAGGAGCTATAGGAACTTAGAATGGGAGTAGTCTAAGAATTGAAGGATGGAATGCTTCACAAAAAAGTAAGGATTGGCGCCTCATGTTCAAGGGAAGATAGGACTTGGCATTCTTCACTCACTAAGATACTTCTGTTCTTTATATTTCTTAATTTGATTAAGTGTCTATCTCATTCTTTAATTTTTTTTCCAACATTTATTATGCACCAGCTTGAGTCAGTTACTCTTCTAGGTCATTAAGGCACCACCTCTTTCCCTAGGGAGTGCATACTTTAGTTAGCAAGCATTTGTAAACAAACAAATGAATATGTAATATGATAAGTGCAACTATATAAGCCTACCACTAGAAGAAGTATATAATGCAGTGGAATTCCTAGAAAAGATAATGCCTCAAAACCAAGTTATTTTCAGGTTTAAAAAAAAAAAGGACCGAAAAAGCCTCTTAAGAGATAGAAACACAGATGTACAATGGGTCTTCAGAAAGTTCGTGGAAGGATTCATATTATCTTTCAATTCTTTTTTTTCCATGAACTTTTTGAAGTACCTCATATATACAGCATGGCACATCAAGGGAATTATAAGTAGTTACAAGGCTTGAATGTAAATTCTGATTTCGGAAGCAATGGGAAATTAATCAGTGGAGGCTCCAGGTTTAAAAAGTCATGGTAAGAAAGTATCATTCTTAATTGTAGAGGTGATGAGGTGTCACTTAAGGATTTTAGGGAGAGAAGGGGTGATCCTGTTTGAGTTCTGAAAGAACACGTTTGACCAGGGGACCAGGAATGGACTACACTGAGGCAGTGGCAATGGGAATGAGAAGACAGATTTGAAAATATTTAGGCTGTAAAGTAGTAGGATTTGGGAGTAAGATTTATGATTTCAGAAACTGAAACTGATAACTCCCTTAGATAAGAAAAATGGGAAAAACTGGCAATAAAGGTAGAAAATGACTAATGCAGTCTTGCTGAGAGTTCCTCCAGAACATCAGGATGGAGACATCGAAAAGGCATTTGGTTATGTAAGTGTAGAGCTCAGAAGAAAGGTATGAACTAGAGCCTGATGATTTGAGAGCTGTCACCATAAAGGGTTGGTGGTTAAAACCATCAGAACAGATAAGATGTCCCAGGGAGAGAGAGTGCCAAGAATGAAGAGATTCAAGCCTAGAAGCCTCAGTAATATCAGTATGTTAACATATGGCAACATAAATTTCAGGAGCAGCTGAAAGAGATCTAATTTCATGATTCAAATTTTTATAATTGTTGAAGGAAACTACTCTTTCATTCATTCATACGATTAATATTTATTGAGCACCCGTTAAATGCCAGGCTTTATTTTAGGCACTGGGGAAATAGAAGTGACTAAGAAAGACAAGGTCTCTGGTCTAATGAAGCTTACATTCTAGTAGGGAGAGACAGAAGAATGAACAAATGAGAAAGATCATTTAAAAAAAAATAGTGATAAGTAGGATAATGTAAGAGAGTGACTAGATGGCTACTTTAAATTAGATTGTCAGGACAGGCCTCCTCATAGGTGATATTTAAGCTGAGATCTGAGTGACAAGAAGTAGCCAGGCATGTGTACATCAGAAAGAGAAGCTGATCCAGACATAAGAATCAACTAGGTTTGTTCAGTGTACTAAAAAAAAGACTAGGGTGACCTGAATGTGTTGGAATTGGCAAAGTAATGAGCTCTGAGAACCAAAGAGTAGATCAAACAAGACTTTGGAATCCAGCGTAAGGTATTTGGATTTTACTCTAAATGCAAATTAGCAGGATTATTAAATTAAGAAAAGTTGTTGGGCCTGCATGAGTTTGATGGTGAGAAGACAAGACAAAAAAAAATCTGCTTTGAGATCCACTGCTTTAAAATTTCTTCATGTTTACTTATGTGAAGGAAACTTTATGTGAAGGAAACTTAATAGGTTTCCTTCAAAGTGGTACCTGATGGGTTGAAAACCTTGGTATAGTACAGCACTGAAGTTTGAAAAGCAGAGTTATAAGGAATCTTGATTATTTAAGGCCAGTTATAAATCTGTCTTCAAAACAGACTTACCATAAACAATTTTTGTGTCATCCTTCCTTCAGGAAACAGGTTTCAGCCACTAAGGCAGAAGCAGAAAAGGATGGAGTGAAGGTCCCCACAACCCTGGCAGAATACTGCATCAAAACTAAAGTGCCTTCCAATGATAACAGCTCAGATTTGCTTTATGACGACTTGTACGACGATGACATTGATGATGAAGATGAAGAGGAGGAAGATGCCGACTGTTATGATGATGATGATTCTGGGAATGAGGAGTCGTGACGTGCTCCTTCAGTGCCCCTGTACTGCCCTGCCGTCTCAGGCCGAAGGGAGGGGAGCAAGTGGGGACCTAGCAGTGGCCCCTCAGCAAAAACCTATTCACAGGGGGTGGGGAAAACAAACACAGCTCCTGCTGACTCCCCTTATGGATCTCAGTTTGCTCCTCTTATGGACCTTTAATGGAGAGAAAGTAACCCTCCACAGAATGTCTGAATTCTTGCATTCTTTACCCTTTCATCACTGTATTGATTCTTTTTTTAAAAAAAAAGACAAAACAACAACCCAAACTCCCGCCTCACTTTGTCTATACAGAATGTTCACAGCGAAACACATTTGGTCTGTTTTTAGATTCTTGAATGATTAAATAGTCTTTCAGGACGTTTAATATGTTTAAAGCTGGGAACCCATTGGGAGTTCACAAGTGCTGCATATACTGGGTAGCAAAAGAAAATGGGAGAAAAAAACCCCACAAAACAAACTTAAAAAAAAAATTGCCAAGGTTTAGCTGCTCATTTACATTAGTGTGTGCACAATTTGTTCAGCCCTATGGTGGTGAATTTTGTTTCTTTCCCTTCCTAAGGCTGGGATACAGTGGGCATCAGGGACTTTGTGCTAAGCCTGATGAAATGTGCTCCTTCAGCCTCCATGAAATCATCCTAATATGGAGGCCTCAGCTACTCTGAGGAGAGAAATCAGATTGTTTTTTGAAATTGATTGGGATCTAAAGCCTGAAATAAATGTTCATACTTTACATAGAACTGAGCACTTGATTGCTATTTATTTTAAAGGCAGGGTTATTTTTTCCCCCAAGGGAGTGGGGTGAATGGGGATTTGTGTCTGTGGATTTTTAGTGATGGGAACAAAGAGTTAAAAATTATGATGCCAATTTTGGTTGATACTGCTGGGGAAAAAAGCCAAAATTACTGGTGACCACTGCTGAGAGGAAACATCTGTTTATTTAATATGGCCTTCCCTTCAAAGATACTCTTATCATGAGGTTTTTTTTGTTTGTTTTTAAGTAGCCACTTTTACTCAGTATTAATGCTAGGTGCATGTGTTAAGATTTTGGTTTTCATTGAGCTGCTTATACTGAATAGTGATAAATGTGGATGTGTGTGAGACATGAGTGACCGACTGGTTCCTGCTTTCTTCATTGGATGTGATCTAGACTTTTTTCTCCTTTCAACTTATTTTGGCTATGGAGTTCAGGTAGAAATTGTGCATGGAGCTCCCCCTGGGCTTGTCTCTTCTTCTGGCAGGATCAAGGGAGTTGACTGCAGTCAAGTTTCCCAGCCAGGCAAGGCTATATCTTCGTGCCATGCAATTGCTATGGCTTTGATTTCCCAGGTCTCGATCATGTGTTGCTTTAATCAATATTGAGATCCAGCAGCCTTCACCATCCAGGGACTTCAGAACTTGAAGGCGATTTTATTTGGTATGGGGCTACACCATTTCATAGGAGGACAGTATTCTATGAGTGGGGAAAACCGCTATAATATAAAATCAGATTTCAAAAGGAAAGTAAAAGGACAAGCAAGGACAGACTACAGCCCGACTGAAAATCCTTGTGCACTAGCATCTACTCCTTTTTTTAGATCACAGCTCAGAAAGAAACAAAGGGCAGATTAGGGACAGGGGAAGGATGGATCCTAGGATGGTTATAGTGATGCTTGCTTCTTAGCTCCTCCTTCCTTTCTGATCTCAGGGTTTTCATTCGCTCTTCAACTCTCCCAAACATATGCTGACTATTTCCCAGCAGCCCTCTCTGACCTCTAAAGTTTGGTCTGGTATTAAATGGGAATGTTTAACATGCTAAGGTACTAATGGACACTAATGAGCCTGGTCCCAGAATCTCTGTGTAATCTCCATGGGGCCGGGGCTGCTACTTGCACCCTTGAATCCATTGATTCCAGTCAGATTCAGGGAACAGAGCAGCTCTTTGTGATAATATGCTCTTAAATTGTCTGACTACAAACTCTCATAGAAGATGTTGGAACTAGCTTTTTATTTCCCATACTTAAATAATGCTTCCAGATACTCTGCAGAATTTCTGGAGCCTAAACCTCTTGCCATGCTCTCTGATTTGCCTCTCTCAAACACACAGGTTTACAGCCAGTAGGTTGGTCTTATTTTCTTGGAGCCCTAAAACTAAGGCTTTCATTCCTCTTACTGCTACAGCATCTCACTCCCAGGGCAGGCCAGGCACCTTGGCACTGTGGAAAGTGCTGTGCTGCTTAGCTATGTCCCATTAGGCCCTGTTGGCCTCTGTTGCAAGTTGACTCAGGGAGCCAGAGAGCCAAGTAGATGTTGTACCTCTCAGCCCTTCGGGGTATTACTGTTGAGGGCTGGGTTTGCCTCTGATGAGAGTATAATCAATCAGTTCCAGAAGACTGGGGTATGTTGACTTGCTAGCAGGTAGACATTGAGAGTTTAGACTGACATAAAGCCCAGATGCAGGTTCCAGAGCTCTGTCCCTGAGAGCATCATCTTGTGGAAAAATACTTGGGTATGTAATTTTTTTTCTTCTTGGGAGTGGAGCTGGTCTCAGGCTCAAGCCAGAACCTAGTGAGTACAAATGTGCTGGTTATTTGGTGTGACATGAACTCAAAATCCTGCGTTTTTAGATTCCTTTTGATTCTGAGACCTGCTGGATGCTCTTCAGTTCTGTGTACTTTGAGGCTGGGTGGAGAAAGTATAATACGATTCCGTTGTTGCTTCTCTCAAAGTCTTTCCCCCGCCCCCCGTCTTTCTCGTATCATTCCAGAATTCTTTTCTATTAGCCAGACTTTTTTTGTAGTCCCTTCTTTCCCTTACTTGGAAATTATTTGCTTCTTTACTTGCTGGTTTCCTTATGTTTGGGGCATATATAGTACAAGATCAGAAGGGGAAAATGTGTAGTTCTCTACTGAAAACTAACTCTCCAACCCTCCCATGCTGATAAACAAGGTTTACATTTACAACTAAAGATTCAGATGCAATTTTCAACTATTCTGAAACCAGCAGGACATACCTGACTTTAATAGTTTTCTTAGCTGAAATTGTAATGTTTTTCTTCAGTTTAACTTATGAGAAAAGATTATCTGATGCATTTTGTGTTGACTTCCCCTTTAGTGGTTTATTTTGTCTTTTTCTGCCCATCTGTCTACTAATAAAATGTGAAATAAAATATACCTGTATTGCTATTTCCCCATGGGATGACACTCCTTTTTTTCCCGGTATTAAAACTAAAAGGTGGTCTTAATATTTTCGATTTACCTTGCAGATTATGCCCAGAGCTCAGCTGAAAAGTTACAACAAAAACCAAAACTGGTTGACCTGCCTTTATGACATCTTGTCTAACTTATCTCCCTGGAGAATAACCATCCTCAATCCTTACAAGGTGTTTAAAGGAAGATTCTTAAGGATATAATCATTTGTTAAATTTGATTCTGTAATAGGACAGTCAGTCAAAACACTGAAGGGATAGAGGGTGCTGTGTTGACCTCCTAGGCAAACATTTTGTTTTTATTGTCATTTGTGTCCATAACTTCCTGCTGCTAATAGCAAGGATAAGGCAAAAGGATCAGATTAATAAAAGTCCCTGTTTGGTTTTAGTTGTGGATATTTGCATTTATTCTAGCCAAGATCCCAAGCTGTGGGTTAAAAGCAATACACATCCCATCTGATGAAATGACCACTTGCTCCTGATTGTGCTCCTAGGCTGGATCTGACACAGCGACTTGACCAATATTTGACTTGAAGCACCACTTGTTTAGTTTGGTTATTTAACCTGGTCTGAAGTTGTGATTTAGGCTTGAAATAAGAGGCTATAACACAACCTGGGCAGCCCTGAGCTGCCTGCCAGGTTGGAGCATGGCTGTGCAAGTCAAGTGGAGAGATCTGCCTCCTGCCAGTAGCCCCTGGCTCCTTGGTTGGGATTCACCTGCCTGCCTCCTAACACACTAGACTCACTAGTCATCTGTTCCACCACAGCCCTTGACCACCAATGAAGATTGTGTTTGATGAAAAGCAAAGGAAAAACAGGCATACCTGTTCCTATTTATTCTTTCTCAGGCCTAGAACCCTGCACTTAGTTCTTGGCTGGTCCATTTTAAAGGCAGTTGAGGTTTCGAAAGGAAATTACCTTGCCCTGATATTCCTATTGACAGGGCCCTAGGAGAGATCGCCTTGTCCCTAAGTCTGTTAAGGGGTTGCAAGGAAAGCCAAGTTAACTTTGAACTTTGATAAACATGGCCTGGGCCTTGAAAGGAGGTTTAGTTATCTTTTCAGCCATATGTTTAGGTCAAGAGAAAAGTCCAGCAGAGGGAATACCAATTCAAGCCTTTACTGCAAAGCCTGTTGTCAGAAGATGGCAACCATGTGAAGTCTTCTTCAGCCCTGTGAAGTCCAGGGTGCCTCTGCCCTGAGTCATACCACACAGAGACCATACATGCTCTCAGAACTTTATTAGGTGGAGTTCAGGCAAGAGAAAACCCCTGAAACAGCTGCACACCTAGTTCAGGACAACTGGAATAGAGGACCTGACCAGCTGAACATCTCTGAGCCCTAGTTCAGATTATTTTTAAAATGGTCAGCCAGAGGAAGGCAAGTCTCTGGGGACAAGACCAGACTGGAGAGCAGAAGCCCCTGGTCTATACTCTATATGAAGACAAACAGGTAGTTTTATGTTAGGTGCAGGGATATCTCTGCTATTCTCAAATCAAGACTTGGCAAAGAGGACCATGATGAAAAGACCAGTTTCTCGAAAAACACAGGTATAAAGTAATTACAAAGGGAAGAAAACTCAAAACAATGGTTTACTAGGGAGCAAGTTAAGTTGTGATTCTTCATTGGTACCTGATCCCAATACCCAAACTGCCTTGAACCAGCCCTTCCATAGAAAGCCCTCCTGCCCAGTGGGCTGCTAGGGGCAATGTGGGAGGCCTGAAGGCAGAAAGGGGTGGGGGTTTCTTTGCTACAGCAAGAAGGGGCTTGAATAAGCAGAGCAGACCTGGCTACTATCTGCAGCCACACACCCCCTCCCTATAGCTTCTATCACATTTACAAATACATACATAAATACATAACATACAATAGCGGGTCTGGGAGGCAGGCTCCCCTCAGAGGCTTGGCTGCCACAGTTACACATCTAGGAATTCTAGAAAAGGACACTGGGCTCTTAGAAATGTGCTCCACATGTTATCTCTTGCGAAGGGTAAGCCCTGCCCAGCCTACCCCTTTCTTCGGGGTCTAGTTTGTCCAGTAAGGAGAGTTGCTGTGAGCAGGTTTGGAGGCCTGAGACTTAGGCTGTAGGGAGCTGGGCTGGTTGCGTTGACCAGAGCCATTCTGAGGAGGAGAAGAGAAGGCTGTCAAGGCTGGAGCAGAACCCTCAGCCCAGGTAGGGTAGCTGCCTCTATCACTGTGCTCACCTGGGTCTCCTGCGGAAGGTGGTGGTGCAGCAGCTGTGAGTGGGGCTGCTGGTGGGCTGGCAAAATGTGCAGGAATGGTGGGGGCGCATAGCCAGGGGCTGCTCCAGGGGCCAGGGGCCCAGGGGAGCCCAAGGCCGAGGGCAGGCTGAAAGGTGGCGGAGTCCCTGCATGAAATCCCTGCTTGTCAAAAGTCTGCAGGGCAAAGAAGACAAAGGGGAGGGTCAGGCTGGGCTGTACCTCCCACCAACCTACCGGCCCACCTTTGTTCTCCCTCACCTGAGTCGTCTTGTAGACAGAACCAGTCATATCAGGTAGGCCAGTGGCACTTGAAGACACTGATACTCCTAAGAGGAAAAGCAGTTGTTCCCCCCACAGCAGTTGGTCCCAGCTCCAGGCTCCCCTGACCTCTAGGGGCACTCTGGGGTAGGCCTGCCCGAGAGGGGATCAGGCAGGAGACAACAACTCCAGGCCTCAATCCTGGAAAGGAAGGGTAAAACACTACCTTTGCCAGGCCCAGAACCTGTAGACTTGTTTGGTGCCTGCGATGATCCACCATAGCCACCCTTGGTGTAGTCCCCTGCTGCTGTCCCCTGGGTCAGGTCATCGTAACCTAGCATGGTACGGTATAAGAGGCATGTGTGAGCCAGGCAAGCCTGTTCTACCCTGTGTCTCCATGCTGGGAGCACCCCCTCACCTGTGCCATAGCTGTGCTGACCATAACCACTGGCCTGCTGGAAAGGGGTGGTAGGGGTGCTGAGGTTCACACCATGCTGCTTGGCTGAGGCTGGAGGGACCTGGTGGGGCAAGCAGGCAAAGTATTACTGTGGGAACAAGGCAAGGTGGAGCAGATCAGACACACTCTGCCTTAGGGGCAGGCAGCAGGTGGCATACCCACCACCACAGCAGACCTGTGTTTTCATCACCTCAACACATAGTGGATCTAAAAGCAGATGGTGAAAGTAAACTTGTCCCCTGCCTGAACAGTCCCTGAAGACCAGATGAGACTCTGAGGGGTCATGACCCTCCCCCTCCCTGCTGCTGCTCCCAGGAGCTGGAATACAGGTCCCAGTGACCCAAGGCCAAATACTCACAAACATGGTGGGCCCATACTGGAAAGCACTGGGCACGCCTGTGTAGTAGGGAAGGCCGGTGTAGCTGTAGCCAGGTGGCAGTGCAGGATTCAGAAAGGGCTGTTGCGCTGTGTGGTGGGTCTGGGATTGGCTCTGCTGTGGCTGAGCTAGTGTGGTGGAGGGGGCAGGCGATGCACAGTCACCTCGACCAAACTTTGTGACATCACCTAAGAGAAGAGGAGTGCTGACTCCAGTCACTGCCCCTTATCCAACCAAGAAAAAAGCCAGACTGGCTCCAGCAAACAGGAACTGGTCTCACTGCCAGTTCAAATACGGGCAGCTAAAAGGCCTCTCTCAGCGCTTCTGTTTCTGCTTTCCCTACTCCTGGGATTAGTTACAGGCCAGTCCCACACTCTCCCACTCCTTACCCACTGAGCTGACTAACCTGAATATGGATTATTAGGGAAACTCCCATCTCGGCTGGCAAGGGCTGTAGGTGCAGCAAAGGGAATTCCGTAGTAATCCTAGGAGAGACCAGGGAGGCTCCGTCAGTGAGTAGCCTCATCCCACTTCCAGAAGAGCAGAGCCAGCAGGCATCACGTGCACATGGCACTCTAAGTGATGCCACACTCCTGGGACAGGCAGCCCTCACAGGGAACTCCAGGAAAATGGTGCCCACTGGAGGTGTGCAACTTGGCAGCCTTGCTTAACTGGTTAGTACACGGACAGACTGACCAGACCTGCAGCCTTTGCCAGGCAGAGCCATCGGAGGCCCAGTTAAACCACAGAAAGATGCTCATGAATGCCACAGGCTAAACCCACTTTACTGGTTTTTCCTGGAGTCTCTCTGTGTGAGAGACTACAGAGAAGCAAGGAACAAACCTGAAAAAGGACTCAGCAGGAGAGGAGGTGCCTAAAAGGTTTAAAAGGGGAAAGGGAGCAGGGCCAGGTAGACATAGGTACAGGTAGGACCTGCCCTGACAACACTGACCCTGCAGAGGACCCGGGAAAGTATGGTAGAATCAACAGCATGGAGACAAAGAGGGCAAAACACAGGGGAGCTCTGTGGAGAAGGAGACACCTGCTCAGTCCTGGACATTCCTGGCCTCTGAGCAAAGGGAAAGTCCACAGGCTGCCCTAGACTCATGACAGTGTCCCATCAAAGCCAGATGAGAGACATCCTGACATGAAATGGCACTCACATCCTCCTTTGGCCACATCTCCAGGTAAAGTCTAGGAAACCCATGGCATTCTCAGCTCAGAACCCCACGAGGGGGCAGGACTAGGAAAGCACAGAGCTAGTAGGAACACAACTGGGGTCGTGTATAGAAAAGGCCCAGAAGGGGGAGCCCTTTCACAGATGATGAGAAAATATAAAGGTGGGAACTAGGTACAAAAGTGGCAGAGGTTAATAAATGACCCAAGGGAAAATAAAAAGCAATGTATCTCAAAAGGTGAGACCAGAGGCAATTTCCTCCAAGGCACAAAATGAAAACAGGAAAAGGAGTCCTGTGAATGAGTGTGGACAGCCACGAACAAGCCCCAGAGGCAGGACAAATCTCAGGGTTGGCAGCCCGCCTAGACCCCCATGCAGGCTCACTCGGGGCCACCTCCTGTACTCATCCGTGACAGTCTGTGGCTCCTAGATCTCCTAGAATGGTGGGCTGCTGGTCTGTACACGGACAGTGAGCTGCTCAGCTACCAGGATGGAGAAGAGCTTCCCTCCTGAGACAACAGCCTCTGGGAGGTAGAGGTGACACCTGCAGTGCTATAAGCTCTTTGTGGCTTGGCAAAGGCAAAACCAATGGGAAAAAATTTGAGGAAGGGCAGGTGACACGTCACTGGAGAGAGAGTCTCTTTCTCTGGGAATAAGACAGACCACATCCAGTGGAGGTAGACACCAGTGTCCAAACCGCCTGTAACTCTGTGACAGTCTCTGGCAGATGCCCTGGGAAATGTAAGACCAAGAGAGTGGCTACCGAGGAGGAGACCTGCTGTCTGGCAGGGCAAGGAGCAGGCCTGTTTCCCTCCCTTCTCCCCAACAGTCTCGTTAACGTGGCTATTCCAGGGAACCAGTACTTCATCCTAGTACCAAGGGTCAGAATAAAAAGGCAACCCTGACCTCAGAGTGAGGCTGCAACCACCAGGGAAACCCCAGGGCGGGCATTCTTGCAAATAAAGATGGGAGGCCAAACACAGAAGAAACCTTGAAGACTGTCAACTCCAGTCACTCAGTGAGCTGGGAGCGGAACAGTAATGCTGCCATCATAAGCATAACCATCGGCCACCTTGGCTCAAAGACGTCATATGGTATTTTAAGGCAGGGGAAGACTTTATAATAAACTCCAGGGCCAAGTAAGCAATCTCCATGTCTTATGTCATATAGTTTTTCCTTAAAAAAAGAAAGAAAAAAAAAGTGGGAGAAGACCTGTATTTGGTAGGGAGCATGGCCTACTAGGGCTCCACGTCCCAAAGATCTGTCTCCAAGTTCCCCAGGGATGAGCATAGGATACTCATATACCAAAGCTATGGTCACACCATGCACATCCACCAAATGGAAGCAGCTTTCTCAGTGGTGGCAATGAGAGGGTTCCTTATGCCAAGGATCCTGAGGACCAGGCAGGGTGGTAGTTAAGGCCAAGGGCGGAGGGACATGTTGAAACCCCACTGCCCCCACCAAGCCATATCCCACTCACCACTGGCAACCGTGACTGCAGCATCTGGAGCTCATCATAGCTATAGATCTGCGTGAGGACCAGAAATGTTTGTTAGGGACCACACATCAACCCTTGGGAAGCCCAGACCCATCTAAGGGCCAAAACAAGATTGGAGGAATAGGACACATCCAGGAATGGGACCTGGATGACCTGCTGTGGGACAGATCCCACCTTGATGGAGTCTAGATGGAGGAAGATATACCAGGGATCAGACGGGCAGAGAGAGAGAAGTCAGGAAGGGAAGAGCAACCCAAGGTGGACACCCCCAGCCCAACCCTATCCCCACCCCAACCCCTGCCGCCACCAGGTCCTGCCAGGTGCCAGCCCCTGAAGCCAGAGGAGCTGGGGCTGGCCAGGAGCTCCAGTGTGCACTCACCGGGTAGGCAGGAAGCAGTCCTCCAGGGCCTACAAGGTACTGGTTGTGCAGCAGGGGAGGCACACCCTGGGGCAGGTTTGGGGGTGCTTTGCCTGTGGAAGGAAAAACTGAGTCAAGTGGCAGCAACAAGAGTGAGATTCCTCAGCTGCTTTTGGAAGAGGCACAGGTCACTTTGTTCACTGTTTGTCACAGTACAGCCCCCACATGGGGCCAAGAGCGGAGGGCAATGGCTGAGAAATGCAGAGGGTCATGTTATGAAGTGGCTAGGGGGGAGAGAGAAAGCACATGCCACCATATTTAGGCTGTTTCAATATCAGAGGGTTCTGTGCCCAGACAGAAGCTCCTCACCATCCCTCAATCCTGAAGGTCACACTGCACTGAGTAAACATGAACATGAGAAACAATCTGCCTCCTCAAAACAGGAGAAGGAAGCCATGCAGTGCCAGAAGGACAGGCTGTGTCAAAGGTGGATTTTAGCACTTTCCACCCAACCACAGTCTGCTCAGCCCACACACGCAACCTATGTCTGGTTGACAATTGTCACACAAAATGGCCAGGAGCAACCAATGATAGGTTGTCCCTAACCCCTCCAAGTCTTCATGTCAACTCAGCTCCAGGGATGAAGCCAAGGACAGAAAAGACTGAGGAGCTAGAAGCATAAAGGCTGCCAGGAATCCTGCCCAAGGACAGCATGCAGCAGACTCGGCCTGTGCCCATCCCACACAAGGGCTGTGGGGATCAGGCCTCAAGAGGTCAGTGGAACACAGCAGCAAAACATGGCAATGGCAGGACCAGTGTGACAATATAATCTTCTGATGCTTGTGGCTCCCCACCATGTCCTGGCAGCTACCTCTGGACACCCTTCCTGGGAAGTCAAGCATGCACATTTGAGAGGGGAAGCGGTGGGCATGAAAGGCCACTGGAGCACATACCTGAGGTCACCAAGGGCGCAGCCCTGGTACTGCTGTTGGGTGCACTTACAGTGGCCCCACCCAGGCAAAGGCTGTTCACTGTGTTCGTGCTACTGGGAAGGCTGACACCTGAGGATGTGGCACTCGAGATGGAGGTTGCTGCCGTTGAAAAGGTGGCTGAGGATTGGAGGGAAGGGGTACTCTCCACACTGGTGTGCTGGCAAAACAAAAGCCATACATGGATCTGGAGGCAAAGGAGGAGGGTGCTGGGAAAGCCCGGCCTGGCACTTGGGCCTGCAGTCGAGGTTGAATGGGCAGGCAGCAACACAACTACCCAGGTACACTAAGGTGAGGGGCTCCGTGCTCACCATGGCCCCTCACACTGCAGCTAGATTCAGCCATCAGAACACCACTCATAAACTGAATATCAAAGACTATTAAAACTGAGCCCTATGACTAAAAAAACCTCTTAAAAATCCTTCAAGTTGCTCATGCTTTGGTTATCTCAAACAAGGCACAAAACCCCCAAGTAAACTTCAGATCATATAAATGAATACAGACCATTTGAACATGGAGAACCCACGTCACAGAAAAGCAAAGTCTCAAAAGAGATGACCACAGGGCCATAGGAAGCCCAGCCTAAGTCAGAGTCATTTGTGGATTTCCTTCCTTTGGGCTTCTTAGCTACTCTGATCTGGAAGCCACAGGAGGCCGAGAAGCCTTTGCTCCAAAACCTGGTGACACCTTGCAGTCCACCAATGCCTCACCAAGGCCTACCTAAAAGGGCATGGCCTGCCCCTATGCCTGCTCAACAAGACCTACCAGGGAAGGTCATGGCAAAACCCAGCCGCTCAATCCTAGTAATAAAGTACCATGAAGGGCTTCCAACACTGGGCGGGTAGGTGGAAATGATACACCTGGTTGGGCAAATCAAGTCCGAAGGAGGTAGGAAAAAGTCCTGTAAGACTAAGACTGATCTCCAAACCAGAAAGTGTGCTGAGCACAGTAGCACAGAAGCTCCTAGGGAAGCCAAAGAACAAGAAGGCCGCAGGAGAAAGGGGACCAGCATGTGCTCAAACTCTCTGTGGACGCCCAGTCCACACGACCTTCCCTACCCCCCTGAGCACTGGCTTTAGGGCTGTAACCTACAGAGCAGATTCACCAAGGTGAAGACAGCTGAAAATTTGGTTTCCTAGGGCTAACAGGGACACTTGCTCTTTCAGCATGAATGGACCAGAGACAGGGTGGAAAAAGCCCAACCCAGAGCAGGGCAAAGGCTATGCTGCCCTGCGCAACACCTAAGCCATGGACCCCTGTGAGGAGCCAGACTTCCCACCCAAGACCACCTGCCACAGAACCTGGAACAGCTCTGACCACTCCTTTCAAGTGTTACTGGTCATACAACCTTTTAGCCCTGTTAACCACAGAAGAATAAATGAATACTCCTCATCCATACAAGACATGCTTGCTAGAGGAGTGGTTCCTGACATGCTGAAAGGAGCTCACGAGATGTCCAGAAAGCCTCTCCTCCCTCAGTGCTTCTGACAGGCTCCTGCCTCTGCACCTCACCTCCCAGACCGTGAGGATGTCCAACCGTTGATAGAACAGAAACGCCCCATTTAAAAGGCCCCACTCAGTCTGTCCCAGGAGGCCCATGCAGTCAGAACCCCAGGATAGGTCCAGAGAAGCCAGGGTGGGAGAAAATACTGAGATTTCCTTTATAATGTTAAAGTGGCAAAGACCTTAACTTTGATAAACTATGAAAGAAAAGACATGTCTGGCTATATATATAAAAAAATCAAATTATTTATAAAATGACTAATCTGGGGAAAATATCCATACCTTCCATCATAAAGGCTACTAGTCTAATATAGAGGGTGCATAGAAATAGACACCAACGACCTGACAGAAACATGAATGAGCAATATAAATAGCTCACAGAAAAGGAAATTCGATGGCTTTCAAATACATAAAAAAGAGGTTCAACGTCATCCAATTAAAAACTATACTGAGGGGCCATGTTTCTAACACACTAGAAAAGTACAAATATTCAATAACATCATTTTGAGGAGGCTGTGGGGAAACAGAACATTTCATTCATTGCCAGTGGGAGATAAATAGGTTAAAATACTATGCAGCACAATTTGGCAATTTGTACAAAATGAGAATGCCTAACAAATCCACATCCACGGTTTACCCTCCAGAAATAGCTCTACACAGGAAACAACATATGTAGAAAGTTATTAAATGCAACACTGTTTGTAGTATAAAGACTGAAAATGGCCCTAAATGGAGGACTGATTAAATAATGTAATACAGTAAACTGAAAAAAAGAACAAAGAACTCTGTTTTCAATATGGAAACGTCTCCAAAACAGACTGTTAAGTGGGGAAAAAAAGTTGAAGAACACTGTGTTTAGAATACTTATATTACAGAAAAGAAAAAGAAAGAGGGCAAAAGGCAAAGGGGAAATGACTGTGTCTATGCATTTTCTTTTTTATAGCTAAACAAACACAAAAAAAAAGTTGAAAGGAGAAAATAGAAGGAACCAAGCAGATGAGGCAGAAAGCTTTGCAGTATTTAAAAAAAAGAGAAAAGAAAAAAAAAAGCTTTTCAGTATATATCTTTTTATAACTTTTAATATTAAACATTGTGAATAAAGGGGCCGGCCCGGTGGCACACTGGATAAGTGCGCCGCTTGGGAAGTGCGGCGGCGCTCCCGCCCGAGGGTTCGGATCCCACATGCAGACCGGTTCCCGCTCACTGGCTGAGCGAGGCGCGGGAGCAACACCGAGGGTTGCAGTCCCGTTGCCGGTCCCCGGTCCGGTACGGGGGCAACACTGAGGGTTGCGATCCGTTGCCGGACACGGAAAAAGACAAAAGACAAAAAAACAAACAAACAAAAAAAAACCATTGTGAATATATTAGCAATGTGACAATCCCATCATATTGATGTAGTGTGGAACTCACAGGATGAGGCAATTCTGGCTGTGGCAGTTTAGATTTTAGGTTCTGGGTTTTCTTTGCAGAGACACAGAGAGTGTAGCTACCCATGAGAGCAAGAGCAAGGGACTTGCAAGCCACAGTACTGTGGGCATGGTCAGCCAGCTCCACAGTGCTCAGGATGGGGACAGCTCCCATGAGCCACAGAGGGCAGAGGCGGGTGGGCAGGCAGAAGTGGCCATACTGTGCTCTACTTTGAAGACAGTGGTCTATGTGTTTTAGGAGCAAAGGATTGTGTGTGATATTTCACTTGGAAAAGTAGAGCCTGAAAGCCACAATGTTAGCCAAGTCCTAGTGGAAGGATAGGACTGGCCCTTTTCTACCACCTCATTCAGCAGGTGAGCTGATCACTTCTTCAGAGAAACAAATTTCACCCATTTCCTGCCTCCCATTCATCTGCACCCAAATCCTCCCTCCCTGCCTATGGACCCGCCTACTCCCACCTTGCCTGAAGCCTCCCATAGCCCAGCAGCGTGGACATTTTGTTCTTTCCAGACATCTTTCTACCCACCTAACCTCATGCTCATGTCTCTCCTAGCTTTCAGTTAAGCACTGTCCTACCACCCGCCTCTTCTCCATTTCACCACTACTCACTGCTCCACCCACCACAATCTGGCCTGACCCCTACCACTTAAAACCATGCCCCCAACTTCACAACTCACTAAGCCACACTTCAATAGCCATACTCTAGGACTGTTCTTTGGCACCCGACTTTGAAACTCTCCCAGCCTGCCTTCCTCAACAGCACACTCCTGCTTCCATTCTCACCCCTCCTCCCTCCAGACTTCTGTCTTCAACATCGACCTTCTCAAAGTTTCTGGCTATGAGCAGGGGAAGATGGCCTGAGGAAAGACTGAACAGAGGAAAGATGATACCATTAGAACAGTCCCCATAGCCACCAACAGAATGGAATGCAATTACATTGACCAGGCTAAGAGCCAGGACTGTCCATCTCAGAGAGACGTGTGGGCATGTGCATGCGGCAAAGAACAGAGATTCCTCACATAAACACTCCCTTTTCCCTTCACACATGTTCTCTATGATGCCTTCACAAAGTAACAGAGGGTTAAACCGGAAAAAATGCTCTTAATTAAACTTCATTTTTAGTGGAGCCCAAGCTGGAACTAGCAGTGAGCCCACTTCCCTTCAAAAAGCAATCAAATGCCTCAACATAAAAAGGCCCCCAAAATAAAACCTCTCCTGCTAGGTAGAAATGTCTCCTATAATGAACAGGGAGCTCTGCAAATTCTTGGGAGCAAGTTCACCACCTGACAGCCGTACTGAAGTCATAGTAGGTCTGGAGAAGAAACTCTTCCAAGGAGTCACAAACTTAGGAAGCAAGGTGTCCTCCATGGTGCTTAGGAAAACAACAGCTTGAACCACATCATTAGATCAAGACATTTCAGCCAAGCAACTCTAGATCATCTCAGATATTTAAAGCACCAGCTGCTAAGCAGGTTTGGGAGGGAGAAAGCCCTGTGGACACTTACTGTGTGTGACGTGCTCGAGGAGAGTGCTGAGTGCACAGAGGAGAGGCTGCTCTGCTGGCCTGACAGTGAACTAGAAGACAAAAAAGAACACCATGTGTCCACCCAAACAAGTTATGCCACATGAACAGGACCCACTAGGCTGGGTGGACTAGAGTCAAGCTTGTCCCTTTCCCTAGGGAAGCTCCAACTTCAGACCCATCTTTTCTTATCCCCTCGGAACCCAGTGACAGAGTTCTGGTGGTTAGAAATAAAGGGTCACTCACCATGAGGTGTAGTACACCCTGGCCTGTGGTACACCCTGGCACTATATGCATTTGCTCTTTAGAGTATAAAAAGTAACAACGGGGTTGCACTAAGAACACTGCCACCCTTGGAGACCCCAATAAATCTGTCAGTGAGGGGGAAAAAGTTCCTATGCTCAACCTCACATGCCAGAGTCAGAGCCTGAATCCCCATCAATTCCACAGTTCAAATCCAATGGTTTTGCTCCTAGTTGAGGAGGAAGAGGGGAATTCTACTCAGAAGAGGTAGGTAATAAACAAACCCATTTTCCCTGTTCTAATAACTTGATCTCTGAAGCCATGACAAGTGCAAATCAGATACCCACTCAGAAATGCAACAACGTTCCTACTCCACATCACAGTAACATTGGCCCAGAGTAGGGAGAAGAGGCTAGCTTTGGGTGCCCTTCTAGGGTTCAAGACGAGTGGCAGGGAACCCGTGACCCCACCCTGTTCCCAGGGAATCCAGTGCTCTGTGCCAGCAGAGGCATTACAAACAGGCAAGGTTTTCACACCTAGCAGTTTTGAGACCTGACCTGGCCCAAACCTAAGCTACAATATTAATGCAAAAGCTCAGGGCATCATGTCAAAGGTAACAAGTGTGTTTTTTCCATAGGAACAACCTTCTATAGGGGCTCTAGAACTTTTTCCCAATGTACTTCTCATTCTGGGTCCAGATTTTCCCCATACCTGCTAAGCTGAGAGATGGGGCTGCTGGATAGGTCTCCAGGCTGAGACAAGGAAGGCAAAGTGGCAGGGTGCTGGGAGGTGGAGGGTAGAAGCACGGCACAGGAGGTGGTGCTGGGCAGGGAGCCCACAGATGGGAAGGCGGAGGGAGGGTCTGTTGTCTTTGGAGCTGGAACGGATGAAGTAGCTGTAAGAAACAGAACTGCTGAGCTCCAGAACCAATCCTCAGTGTCTAAAACATGCTCAATATCTTGTGACATGTCAGGCTAGGTTGAGACATACATAAAGTTACATTCTCCAGGGAAATGTCCAGGCATGTCACCAGAGAACCTGCTCTCTGTTAGACAACCCTAGTAAAAGGCCAGGCAACTGTCAGACATGCAAGACTCAAGCAAAAAAGTAGGAAATGACACTTTTATAATCATAAATTGTCCTATGATGTGGACATACTTCTTCCACCTAAAGGACCCCAACCCTTAGCAGCACCCGGAAAGGAAAAGAGGTGCTGAGACTGACATGCATATTGTATGGTGAGGCAAATTTTCCTCAAGAGGCACAGCAAGGGAGAGTCAAAATCTGATGGACAAGACCACCCAAGAGTGCTTCTACCAAATCAGTACCAAATCAGGCTACCAGTGCCAAAGCTCGCGGCCAGTTTAGGCCAGGAGGCTGAGAACCCAGAGTACATACGGTGTGGAGAGATATATAAGCCTAAAATCTGCAGAAAGAGTAGACACCTGCTGTCCAACACGTACTTTCAAAAGCATAGTGAGAATTTCCTTGGTATATACTTGAACAGCTTAATCTCAGCTCACATAAATGAGCTTATTAGGCTTCAAAAAGGACACGAATATAATCAGTCTTAGCTATGGAAAAGACTCAGTCTTAGTGCTGTCCACACATACAACTCGGATATGTGCTTGGAAATAAACATCATAGTCTTTTCCAGTTAGGAAGTAGGAACAAACTTTACCCTCCTGAGAGCCCACTGGGAAGTACTCTAGTTTCTAAAAGGAAGAGTGAGTCAAAAACACAGACAGTAACAAGGTCAATATGCACCTAGGTCAATTCTTACAGAGGGCATTTTTTCTTTTTTTTTTAACTGATGGTCTATTCAAAATATGAAACCTGTTCTTAGAGAAAACAGATGAAAACATCACAGATGTACCTCACCCAAAACTAAGACCCCAAAAGGTACCTCCCTGCGCCTTGGGTTACAATGATAACAGGTTCACAGCAAGCCTCTCTCTCAAAGTACAAGAAATGGGAAGGATAAGGGCAGGAAAGGGTAGAGAAGAGAGTATGGGAAATAAAACCCTGTCTCAAAAGCATGCTATGTTTTTCTGATAGTAAATGTCTCATTTTACCTCATTTAAAACCTCCAAATAATATAGGACACCTGGGTGTTCTCGACCCCATGCCTGGACAATAGAAACTTGCCACCACAGCTGCTGGAGTGATAAGTTGCTCTGTCATCCAACAAGCTCAGAGCTACAAATCAATCTCCAAATAAACCTGGCAGCCCAGCTGTACAATCAATCTAAAACCAAATCCTGATGCATTAAATCTGTTATTTCAATTCCAACGGAGACTCACCGCTGGTCTGCTAAAGTTCCATATCCACACTCTTGAAAATTCCTGATTAAAAATTAAAGAAGTATTTCTGGCTTCCATCACCACTAGTGGATACCCATTTGCCTTACTAAACGTTGAAAGAACACAGATATAAACAATGACAGACAAGATAGCCAAGTACAAGGGAAAAAAACAACTGACAGGGATTCACCTGCACTATCTCCAGGGATCACTGAGCTGTTCTAGAAGGAAAGAAGAGGGGTCCCCTCATTTTCTCCGAAGTGTTGACAGTGAACAACATTTTACCTTTCTTCCTATGCAATAGTCCAGAAAGCAATGAGTATGTCTTTCTTGAACTAGGACAGCAATTTTTTCCTTTACAAGTCCTTCACTTTATTGGTGAAACAGCCCTTTCACCAACATGGAACCTGTGTCTCTGAGCAAAGCATCTTTTAAACGCATGCTACACACTGCACTGCATACTGTATTGTGGCACAGTCTGATCAGGGAAAAAGAAAACGAGACTATCATCTTGCTGTTGCTGTGGCGATGACATTTCTAATAATATCACCAGCTATTACCTGGTCACATGGGAATCTCTAGCTGACCTTATTAACCCTGCCACAGAAACAGGAGTTGGTTTCTCTTAACCAATGAACCTGGCTTCTCTCTGCTCCAATGATGGATCAGAAGCAGTTATCAGAAGGGCTGGCCCGTGGCTCACTCAGGAGCGTGTGGTGCTGATAACACCAAGGCCACAGGTTCGGATCCCTATATAGGGATGGCCGGTTAGCTCACGTGTAAGAGCGTGGTGCTGACAACACCAAGTCAAGGGTTAAGATACCCTTACCGGTCATCTTTAAAAAAAAAAAAAAGAAAAAGAAAAAAAAAGCAGTTTTCAGAAAAAATGTAAAAGAGCTGTTTTTGAAGAATTAGCCATTGGCCAGTTGGTATATTCCCTATCACATCAGCTATGCTCTTTGTTTGGCTTCCACCAGCCATGACAATGGTTAGCTGATATACTTACTGTCTAGTGTCTGCTGACTTCGACCACCACCATGTCCATTCTATAAGGGACAAAAGAGAAAGTAAGTAAACCCATAAAATCAAATGTTTAAATAGATACTGTCTATTGGGATTCAGCAACAACCACATGAAGTACAGGTTAATCAAGGAACAATGTCTGTTTTATTCTATTTTTTAATAAAAGGGGAGGCAATACAACAAACTCTTTTAATAAATCCCAAGGAGCCAACATTTTTCAAAGCCTTATTTATTATTTCGGGAAGTAGCAAGGAAAAACATTAAGACCCAAATCACAGGAAGCAATGAAACAGCCATAAAAGAATTGTTAAAAAGTCCAACTGTACAAAGAACAGGAAGTCCCATTATATTTAAATCACCAGGCCCTTCCTATCTCATGCAAGTTGTGTCTCCTGAGCACCACTTATGCAAGAAAGAAAATGTTTTCAACTTACTTAAAACAAAAAACAACTTCCACACCAGGAATTATCATATTTTATATTACCAGCAAAATGATTCTCAGAGAAAAAGAGATGTTATCTTGAAACACGCTCTTCTAAAGTAGGTAGGCAGAGTGGGTTAGAACAGTGTGGTAACCTCGAAAAGAGCAGAACCTGAGAACAACTGGTTAACCATAATGCATTTCAGCGGAATTGACACACAAGAAAAAGGCATCCTCACAAAAATGACTTCTGCCTCCACAGACTTGAGCAGTGGAGACATGACACGGAGCGATCAAAAGCATGACCTGCAAGACTCAGACACTGTCCCAAGATAAGAGGAGGAGCATGGGGGGGGGGGGGGGGGGGGGGAAGCTGAAAGATTCCTTCTAGCAAACGTCAAAACTACTAATGAAAAAGACCTTATAGCTGTTGCCTCTGCATTAACCAAAATCCAGTACAACTTGTGTTCATGAATGTTATACTTATTCACAATATTCCTTGTTCAACAAACAATTTGAAATTATTTACAAGACATATAGAAAATAAAACAGAACATCTGGGGGGGAAACACGAGTTAAAAGGTTAAGGTCAGGACAAGGGAAACACAACATACCTCAGCAAATATATGAAAATGGGTGGAGAGTAATCAAAGTTCTAGTCTTTCGCCTCCCCTTAAACTAGAGTTCATGCCCTATAAATACATTTACATGATATCGAGCACAGATATCCTGAACAGAACAAACCCTGACATATAGAGAAGTCTTCTCAAAACTGCACCAGACAAAAAGCACAGAAAGTGGGAACAGGAAACACCTGTCATCAGACCTAAGGAATATTTCATTCCACCTTGAAAATCATGTTTAAAATGCAAGTGACGGACAAACTGACACAACAGAAGGGCCACATTATTTGGGGTGAGGGAAATTCTAGGCAGAAGAATGGCAGGAGCAAAAGCAAAGAAGTATCAAAAGGCCAAGAGAGATCAGAAATCTACATCAGCCAGTTAGCTCAGTTGGTTAGAGCACTGTGTTATAGCACCAACATCAAGGGTTCAGATCCCCACACCATTCAGCCACTAAAAAAAAAAAAAAAAAAAATCTGCAGGAGAGATCAGAAATCAGTTAGCTGAGGGACGGCCCATGGCTCACTCAGGAGAGCATGGTGCTGACAACACCAAGTCAAGGGTTAAGATCCCCTTACTGGTCATATTTAAAAACAAAAAAAAGAAAGAAAGAAATCAATTAGCTGAGCAAGGAATGAGGTGAAATAGGAGAGTAAGAGGTAAAATCAGAACCGGAATTGAGATGTCCTGGTGACGACAGGGACTGAAGCTTGGATAGCATATGGTCTGATGTTTTAGAAACAGTACTGACCAGCAATGTTCAAAATAACTTTCTGCAATAATGGAAATACTCTATTATCTGCATGCCCATACTGTAGCCACTAACCACGTCTGGTTAATGAGCATTTAAAATGTGGCTAGTGTGTCTGAAGAACTAAACTTTTAATTGTTTATTTGATTTTAATTAATTTAAATTTAAATAGCCACATGTGGCTAGTGTTTGCCATACTGGAAAGTACAGAAATAAACTCTGTGTTAAAGATGGCAGATCAAGAAAACATGGCTTTTGTACTAGCCAGCCAGCTCAGCTGGTTACAGCACGGTGTTATAACACCAAAGTCAAGGTTACAGATCTCCACATGGGCCATCAGCCCAAAAAAAAAGGACACATGGTTTTTAATAAAATGAGTAAACCCAGAAATACAAATAACAGGTGAAAAAATGATAACCGAATTTTGTAGGTTAGGGCTGGCCAGTTACCTCAGTTGGTTAGAGTGTGGTGCTGATAATACCAAGGTCCAGGGATTGATCCCTGTACTGGCCAGCCACCAAAAAAAATATTTTAAAAAGTGTAGGCTACAAAGCATATAGAAGATGGTAACTGACTAAACTGACCTGGAAAAGCCAAATCCTAAACTAGTAGTAAGGAAAACAACCAATTTTTACTCAAAGAATCATACCAAGCACCTCATATTGATTTATACGAGTTAACTATTTTTTTTTTTTTTTTTTTTGTCTTTTGTCTTTTTTCCGTGTCCGGCAACGGATCGCAACCCTCAGTGTTGCCCCCGTACCGGACCGGGGACCGGCAACGGGATCGCAAGCCTCGGTGTTGCTCCCGCGCCTCGCTCAGCCAGTGAGCGGGAGCTGGTCTGTATGTGGGATCCGAACCCTCAGACGGGAGCGCCGCCGCGCTTCCCAAGCGGCGCACTATCCAGTGCGCCACCGGGCCGGCCCTAACTATTTTTTTTTTAAAGATGACCTAGAAAGAGGTCTAAAAAGAGGGGATCTTAACCCTTGACTTTGTGTTGTCAGCACCACGCTCTCCCCAGTGAGCTAACCGACCATCCCTATATAGGGATCTGAACCTGTGGCCCTGGTGTCATAAGCACCACACTCTCCCAAGTGAGCCACAGGCCGGCCCCTACGCCAGTTAACTTTGGAAGTAGGAGTGGAGGTGAAGCTAAATGTAGGAGGATTAGTTTAAAATCTGTACAGACCCAGATCCTGTCCCTCCTCTGCACATCAGAGTGACTTCCTCCTCCCACCTTCTCCAATGGGCTCTACACATCAAGAAGGCAACACATGGCCAGGGGGACTGTAAAGTAAAAGACGGATGAAGTCAATGTAGACAAAATGAATGCTGTGATGCCAGCCTTCTCTTCCCATTAGGTTCTCAGGACATTGCCAGACATTGTAAATGCCCTACAGGAAAGAGATTGGAAGAATATTCTCTGGGGAATCCAAACAAGCTCCCCCAAGCTCCTCTATGCCCCTTAATGCTGACTGATGAACATCAGCTGATTTACCAGTATCAAGAATAAAGAGACCAAAACAAACAAACAAAAAAGAATAAGAATAAGGAGACAACACTACTAGTGAGCCCACAGATGCTAAAAGGACAGTAAGGAAAATACATAAAATTTTTATCCAGTAAATTAGATAAAATGGATGAATTCCTTGATTTACACAAATTAACAAAAGAAACAGAAAGTGTAAATTGCCCTTTACTAATTACAGGAATTGAATTTTTATTTACAAATCTCCTCACAAAAAATAAAACTACTGGCCCAGATGGCTTCATTGGTGAATTCTATGAAACATTTAAGACAGGAAGGAGGACAATCCTACACAAATTCTTTCATAAGAGACATAAAGTGAGGTTGATGGTGACAAAATATAAAATTATATTGCACAGTGGTAAGTTGTTGGGGGCTGGAGACTCAAGAGTAGCTATGTACAGAGGGAAGTCAATCTAACCATGTCTGCGGTACATTTAAGTAAGCAGTTGAGAATATACAGTAGCTCAGGTTTCAAAGTCACCTTCAGAGTTACAGCAAAAACGAAAAGTCCCACACGATGACTTGCAGGCCACCACATTGTCAGGTGGAGAGTTTGATAATGAACCTGACTGCTGCCTCTGGGCCATGTCAGGCAGAAGGCATCTGGCTAAAGTCATGGCCCTAAAACTGAGCTGTCTGACATGAGACCAAAAATCTGTTAATATGTGAAAACAGGCCAAAACAAAAAAGCAGTGTGCAGAAGGGGACTGGATGGGGCCAGAAGTGGGAGCTGTGTGGAAGCTAGGTGCTTAGCCTATTTTGGATACAGGTATTAGAAAGATGGAGTGTTCAGTAGGGTTGTTTTGATTACATAAGAAATGCTACATGAAGAGGTCCTCAAAAACTTATGTTGAAACAAAAACAGTCCCTGTCCTTGAGATTTCCATAGTTTACATGGTCTTCCTTGTCATAGTACCCATCTGTCAGGACACAGATTCTAACTTATATCTGTCAAATAGTCCCTGAGAAGACAACTTTAATCGGGGGGGG